GCTTTACGACCGACTGGAGCAGGAAGCGAGGCTGGCAGCTCGGGGCTGGGGGCGTGAAGCCGGGATCCCCGCCCGAAGCTCAGCCGCGGGGAGAACCTCCTGGAGCCGGCGACCACGGGTTTGCCTGAGGCCGGGGCTGTGGGCGTGGCCTCGGAGACCCGGCTAGTGGGGAAGCCGCCCCCGCCCGGGTTCCGGGTGAGGAGTGGGTGGTCTGAGTCCGTTCCTGGGTGCCCTGGGTGCCGGACGGCTGTACCTGCAACCTCTCGGGCCTCTGGTCCTGGGCACGCGCGCGGCGGACTGGGCGTGCGAGCAGGGAAGGAACTGGCAGTGTTTGCAAGGCACTTAGAAGCCGGACGGAGCTAATTGTCACTAATTGCGCGGCCAGAGGGAGGTTGCAGCCCTAGGAAGCAGAGCATACCTGGCTCCCTCCGACCTTAGCCGGTGCAGGCTCAACCCGTGGCTTTACGGTGCTTGGTGGTTGGCATGCCCAGTGCGCCTGATGCTGAGCTGTTAAGAGACCAGAAATACACATGTTAAACACGCATTAAGGCTCCGCACTCCCTCCCCGCCTGCTCGTGAGCTGTCCTGGGGTTCGGAGACACTGGAGCTGAGTATTCACCTTATCCTGAGTTAAAGAATTCCTCCCACTGCCTGCCTTTGCAGAACTCATGAATGAAGGTACCCGTCTCAGCGTTCTAGGACGTATTCATCAGCGCGTTCCCGGAGCGCTTACTCTGCAGTCTCCTTCACCTGAGACTACTTGCATGCTGATGAGCAAGTCAGTTGCTTAAGGACGGGGAATTCCTCACTGTCCAAGCATAATGTAGCAGCTCCTTCCAAAGAGTGATGATACTATCTTTAGGCCTGTGAAGTCAGTTCTCTCCAGCTTGATTTTGTTGGCAAGCCCAGACCTCTGGTAAAACATGTTGAAGGCTGGCAAGCCTAAAGAATCAGAGATGTACTTTGAACTTGACGCGAATTATCGCAAAGAAACCAGCCTTCTTAGGAGCTCTCGGTGGTGGGGTGATGGAACATAGGTGTATTTTTCAGGTGTAGAGGATTATGAATGTGCTGAGTGTGAACGTACCTTCATCAGAAAAGGAGTTAACTTTTCTAAGAATTATTTTATTTGACTTTATGTACTTATTTATTTATAATTTGACCAGAGAATGACAGAGTGAGCGAGAGAAAGTAAGAAAGCAACCTGCCAGGTCCAGAACTCAAACCGTGGTCCTCCTTGTGGAAGTCCAGCACCCTAACCACCACGCCACCTGCCAGCTCCAGGAGAGGAGTTATTTTTTAAAAGTAGTTAAAATTTCTCCTAAGGAGCCATGGTCAGATGAATACCCTTAGATGTGTTTTAATTTTTCTCTCTTTCCTTTAATTTCCACATAGACTCAACAAATGGAAGACTAGTCAGGTGGGAGGCCAGTGTAAATCCATTTCCTTCCAGATTTTTTTTTTTTTCTTTTGGAGAGGTTTTTGCTATAGGGTGTGTGTGTGCTCGCCAGAGAGACAGGCAGAAAGCGAGCAAATCACCCTCCAAGGGGGAGGGCCACTCTGCAATTTCTTCTCTTCCATTCTCCTCTCAGGATCTCGGGCATGCACACACATGCACCTGGTGTGAGTTTAAGCCACTGAGTCCAGGACTCGAACTGGGGCTGGCTACATGGAAGTCCAGCGATACAGCCATTACAACTGCTGATTCCTCCTTCCAGATTTTGGTGCTGCGCTCTTCCTGTAGTCCTAGCTGAAGTTAGTAGTTTGGGAGGCGGATATTCAATGAATATCCACCCTGCACTGCGTCATTTTGGCTAGTCCTAAAAATCCCTCAAGGTTTTTTGTCATCCCTGTTTTATAAATGAAGAAATTGCAACTCAATAACTTGTTAAAGGTGTACACTGTGTTGTTTGTGAATAAGGGGTAGCGTTCCTGTTTGTGGGTGTGTTTTGTAATTTGGGGGGATCTTCATGTAGTTAAGCCTGAAGACCCCACCTCTTTCTGTCTCTCTTCCCTTATCAGTAGAAGGCCTCTGAGGTGGCGCATCCTCAGTAATCACCTATGCCCAGCAGTAGGAAGACTGTTGCCTCCTCCTCTGTGTGGGAGGGAAACCAGTCTGGTGCTGACTTCTCTTTCAGTTCTTACTGAAAGGCAAGATGAGCGCAGGAAGGCTGCATTTCAGGGTAAATCCAAAAACAGATTGAGCCCTCTTTACTGAGCACAGAGGTGAATTATCGTTGAAGTGCAAATTTAAAGAAGCAACTCATTTTGTCCTGAGCTGTTGATAGCCCACTGGCCAGAAAGCAGTGTGGCTTCTAGAAAGTTAGCACCGTGTGGAGTGGTCATTTACTGCACAGAATACATCGTCCAACAGGTATTTATGAGTATAAACGATTGACTTAGTCACTCATTTATGCTAGTTACTGTGGTGGGCATTGTGGAACCATGTGAGCAAAATGGATAAAGTGCTGGCTCTCGAGGACCTTGCATTCTGTGCCCAGGCAGACACTAAACAAATAACTTCCCCCTGTGTAACTGCAAGTTAGGGTAAGTTCTCTGAAGGAGTCATGTCAGGTGCCGCGAGAGGGCTTAATAGAGAGACCTGAGCCAGCCCACGAGACAGGGTGTTGTGATAAACAGCAGTACCCTGTAAGACAGCAGTGTCTCTTAAAGCGTATGTGCTTCTTCCTATGGAAAACAGTCAGGGTGACCTTGTGCATAAAGCTCTCTCCTTTCCTCAGGGTTATTCTGAGTCGCCAGACCTCGAGTTTGAGTATGCTGACACCGACAAGTGGGCTGCAGAGCTCTCAGGTAAGGCCTAGACCCTTTGTGTTATCTGGGGTGGTTTTTTCCTTCTTGGTCTCGGAGAAAATGAAGGATGAATACAATTTCAGAGATCGTTTTCTGTAGTTACTCCTATCGGTGAGATGTGTATATATAGCTTGTGTATCTCAGCTCTGGGTTTCCTCTGTTTTTATGAAGCGTCTCTGTGGTCAGCTCAGTTAGCTGGGGCCGCTACCAATGGAAACAGTTAATGGTGGTCCTTGGCCTTACACTTTGGCCCTGTGGACTCTCCTCCAGCAGTGGGGCATGAGGGCTGCCAGCAAACTGCCTGCATCTGCGCCCATCTGTCGCACCACTGCTGCTCACACAAATGTGAGGTCAGTTCGTACCCTAGGAAGCAGCTACAGGAGAGACACACGTGGTGGTGGCGCTGTGGCATAGCTCTGGTGTGGTGTGGCATGGTGGGGTGGATGCACATCAGACTGCAAATTCCTAGCTTATTTCTGGTTGTCAGCTGCAAGGCAAGCCAGCACTCTTAAGTTCACCAGAGCAATAAGACCCCTAGTAATCCTGAGTCATTTCAGGGGCCAGCAGGTGACTTGGTGGTAAAGGCGCAGGTTACCACATGGCCAACACTAGTTTGAGTCCTGGGCCTGTGGCTTGAAAATCATATCAGGAGAATGTGGGCCTGCCCAGAATCTTGAGAGGAGAACAAAGGAGAAGGAATTGTGATGTGGCCATCTCCTGGAGGGGGTGATTTCTCACTTCTCTCTCTGTCTGGTGAGCACATGTGCCCTATGGCAAAAACCTAAAAAAAAGAGAGTGTGTCACTCTAGGAGTCACCATGACTTGGACAGAGTACTGGAAGCAAACATTTTATCTTTTCTGCCACATGCGAGACTTGGCATGGAATGTGGACATGGAGCTGAGGGTGACGAGACTTTGTTCTTGACAGAGCTTTATAGCTATACGGAAGGACCGGAATTCTTGATGAATCGAAAATGCTTTGAGGAGGACTTCCGGATCCACGGTGAGATGATCTCCCCACCTCTCGGTCCTTCATCTTACATCATGAGAGCTGCAGGGCTTCTCTTAGTCACCCGAGTGACCTTAGTCATCCTGGGTGGCCTGAGAAACCTGCTGAGCCCTGATTAGTCAAGGGCAGATGCGACATTGAGAGTGGAGGCACTTGGGTGATGGTTTTCCAGAATGTGAGTATTAGGGGACAAATCTTCATTATTCAAATTGCCGTCAAAAGTACCAATGTTCCAGTTTGGAGATTCCACATTCATAGAGCAGCAGTGTGACCTTATCCCTTAAGTAGGGAGTACCTTGTCTGTCTGGTCCTGTGGCTGTCCTGACTATGGCGGGTTAACACTAGGTTCACTCCACTGTGAGGATTTTTCTGACTGGTGTAACTGGTCTCTTGCAGTGACAGACAAGAAGTGGACCGAGCTGGACACCAACCAGCATCGTACTCATGCCATGAGGCTCTTAGATGGCTTGGAAGTCACTGCCAGGGAGAAGAGACTCAAGGTGGCTCGAGCTATTCTCTATGTGGCCCAAGGTACTGAGTGGGCCTCCTGGGGATGCTGGGCACCTCCGTGGGTGGGTTGGTGATGTCCAGCAGGTGTGGGAGGGGTTTGCTGAGCTTCGCTCTGTGGTTGCAGGCACCTTCGGGGAGTGCAGCTCAGAGGCAGAGGTGCAGTCATGGATGCGTTACAACGTCTTCCTGCTGCTGGAGGTGGGCACATTCCATGCTCTGGTGGAGCTCCTGAACATGGAAATAGAGTGAGCACTTCTGAAGGGCCTGAGTAAGAAAGGGGAGGCAGAGGTGGGAAGGGCGACAGAGCCTGCAGAGCTGACTGGCTTTGAGGGAGTTAAACAGGCCACGTGGGGCGGAGGGTCTGGTCCCAGGCTGTTGTGAGCAGCCAGCTTGAATAGGAGGGTTGCTGACCCACACTGTGAAGACCAAGGGAGACAGCTCCCTGATGCTAGAGCTTTTATACCAGCCAGTGCAGGGGTGCCCTTCAGGAGAGGCTTCTCATTTTAAGCTCTTTATGAACCCGTAGACTCCACTGTTCAGCCTGTATTTTCCCCTCAGCAGGAGCCAGGCATAGCCTGACACTTGGGCTCAGCCAAAGCCTGCTCTTACCTGTGTCACTGTTGTCCTTTGACCGATGGACAGGTCAACTGCTGCTCATCTAGGATAACGCCATCCCTAATGATAGCTAAGACACTCAGGAGTGCTTACCTGTCCTGGGTATCACTCTAAGGGCATTACGTGTACTAATTCATGTTAATGATGCACACGTTATTAATTATAGCTAGTAAGAGAGCCAGGATTCCACCTTGGCAGTCCGGCCAGGGCCTGTATTCTTGACACTGTCCTATGGCCCCTGTGTAGTGCCAGCACACAGCTTGGCTATTTGATCTCCCATGGGCAGCACTTCCCTGCCTTGCTGAGCAAGGTGCTGACTCTGATCTCTTCTGCAGCAACAGCGCCGCCTGCAGCAGCGCCGTGAGGAAGCCGGCCATCTCCCTGGCTGACAGCACAGACCTGAGGTGAGGCCAGCAGCATTCCTGGGCCTGCAGAGCTGCAGCTAGCAATGAGAGCAGAACCGGGCGGGGGGTGTCTTTGGGCTTCTCATGCTGTGTGCATTCTTTCTGAGCATGCTCATGTAGGTGCTGTGGGCTCAGTGTGAGTGAGTAGTGGGCCCTGCTGAGGGCTAACTTAGGTGGGGTTCTGGGCTGACCCTCTCAGACCACTTAACAGTTAGTGTGGGGTTCCTGCGTGCACTGCTGCTGGGGATCCGTTGTGGGGTGTTTTACATCTGGATAAGGTGTGCACAGCTTGGTCACAGTCCACACGGGCTTATCCCTGACTACTTCATAGTGTCTCACGCTGCACAGGAGATCACCTTTCTATTTATGAGACTGAAATCTGTCTGTGAATTTGGAAGTTTTTCAGACCCACTATTACAGGGTCCCTTGTGTTACCTGCAGGCTTCTGGTTTCCTCTGTCATGGTAAACCCTATCTTTGTTCTCCCTGTGACCTTGTCCTGCTTTGACTCCACAGCTCACTCCCACCTCTTTTTCTTTCATTTTTTTTTTCTTTCTGGGAGGTTTAGGGCAGAAATACTTTTGACCATTCTCGTTCACATTCGTTCATTCAGCAATGTTTATTAAGCACCTGCTTTGAGTAAGCATTTTATTAGACACTGGAGATACAGAGTAAGAACTGGTCCCTGCCAGAACAACATGACACTGTAAGGAAGCCTCAGGAGGGCAGGACTTGAGCATTCCCCTGTCCTGTGGGACTTGCAGAGCCTCCTCCAGCTCTTCACAGTTTTCTCCTGCTCCCAGCCTTTGTGCACAGGTTTTCCTCCTGTTAGCTGGGGTGTGGGGGAGCCAGCGGTGCTCCCTGGACCCCCATCCCATTCCACTGTGAGCTGGTCTTATCCTCAGGGTCCTGCTCAACATCATGTACCTGATAGTGGAGACTGTTCATCAGGAGTGTGAGGGTGACAAGGCTGAGTGGAGGACCATGCGACAGACCTTCAGAGCTGAGCTGGGTAGGACCCTGGGGGCCCCGTTGAGAGGCCCTGCCTGAGAGCTGAGGCTGGAGGGTATGGGAGGGGCTGCCCGTGGGTTGCTGCCTGTGGTCCTGATACTTTACGTCGCCTCTAGGCTCCCCACTGTACAACAATGAGCCATTTGCCATCATGCTGTTTGGGATGGTGACCAAATTTTGCAGCGGCCATGCTCCTCACTTCCCCATGAAGAAAGTTCTCTTGCTGCTCTGGAAGACAGTATTGGTGAGTGCCCTTTCAGGAGAAAATGGGCTAGGAATGGGGCAGAACGGAGGCTTTTCCTCTGTATTCTTTTGAACAGTGACTATGTGGACATATGACTGCTCTGGTGAAAGGAAGAATTTTTTAAAATTATTTCATTTTATTTATTAATTCATTTATTTTAACTTGTCTGGGGTAGGGGGGAGGGAGTGAGAGAGCAAGCTGCCAGGTCTGGAACTCAAAACGTGGTCAGCCATGTTGGAGTGTCCAGCACCATAACCACCATGCCACCTGCTGGTCCCCAGGAAGAATTTTTTTAAATAAAGAATTATTTAGGGACCAGCAGTTGGTGTAATGGCTATTCGCTGGACTCCCGTGTAGTCAACCGTGGTTCAAGTCCCAGACCCAGTGGCTTAGACTCATGTCCAGTGTGTGTGCGTGTGTGCCCAAGATCTCGAGAGGAGAATGGAGGAGAAGGGATTGCGGTGTGGCCATCCCCCCGGGGGGTGATTTCTCACTTTCTGTCTCTCTGGCAAGCGCACATGCCCTATAGCAAAAGGCTTTCCAAAAAAAAAAAAAAAAGAATTATTTTATTTTACTTATTCATTTATTTATTATTTTAATTTGACCAGAGAGACAGTGGGCAGGGGTGGAGTGAGAAAGTAAGCCACCAGGTCCAGGACTCTTAACTGTGGTTCACCATGTGGGAGTGTCCAGCACCTTAACCACCATGCCACCCGCTGGTCCCCGGAAGAATTATTTTAAAAGCTTTTGAAAGGAGATGAAAAGAGAATCGGCACTTTTGGTGTATAGACACGAGTACTTGGTCTTTGAGTCAGAATAGGTTGTTGGCTCACTGGTCCCTCGCAGTGGTTTTCTCTCATAATACAGCTTCTTCCCCAGACAGCTGCCTCTCAGGAAGCAACCCCAAGCCTGGAGTTTCATAGTTCGTGAAGTGATTTTAGGCAAATTTAGACCTGGCGTACTTGAGGCCTCTTGGTCGGCCATCACTGGAGGGAAGTGAGTGAGTTCTGAGCTGGTCCATTTCCTTCAGGTTGCAGTGTGAAATCGGGCCGTGCTTCTAGCCAGAGAGGAATGGGCTCCAGGGGTGGGCTGGCCGGCATACTTGGCCTGGGGTGTTGTCAGCACCCAGGCTCAGGGCAAGCCAGGAGCCCTTCCCACCAGGGGCAATGACCTGGGGAGAAAGCAAAGCTGAAGCTGGGACAGCTGCTGTCACCGGGGCTCACCCCCCACTTCTTTTAGAATGGATGACTTAGGAGCCAGGACTCCAGAAGTTCAGCACCTCTTTTTTTTTTTTAATGATTATTTTATTTAACTGGTTTTTTTTTGTTTGTTTGTTTGTTTTGACTAGAGAGGGACAGAGTGTGTGAGAGAGAGAGAGGGAAAGTAAGAAAGCAAGCCACCAGGTCTGGGACTTGAACCATGGTTACCCATGTGGAAGTCCAGTGCCCTTACCGCCCCTGCCCCCCCCCGCCCCCTACCGGCCTCAGAAGTTCAGCAACTCTTAAAAGTCATCTGCAGGTTTTAGCTTGGCTAGACACTCTGTTGGCTCCTCATGAAGCCTCGCTAAAGCCAATGGGGGGGGGGGGGGCGGGCTGTGCCTGAAGCTAAGTCTAAAATTGCTGTGCAATGCTGGGTTCTGGCTTCTTGGGAAATGTCTAAAATGAAACTTTTTTCCTTAAATTGAACAATCAACAATATAGTTCCAGTCTGACTTTGAAAGACTAGCATGTACAACTTTTGAAGCATGTGAGTCTCACTGACTTCTAGGAACTGAAGGGCTCTTCCCACCATCTTTTTATTGAGTCCATCTTTTTTGTTTTTTTTTTACCTGGAGAGGCTGTCATACGCAGAGAAAGTGTGTCCGTGCTAGGCCCTCAGCCTGGACCCCCATCCCACTGTGTTGTGTTTTCCTTCTTCCTTCATCTCTCCCTTGCCAACATCACTGTGATTTGCTTTGGGGTGGCCCCAGTCCCTCATCCAGGGGTTATGTAGCCCTCTGTAGAGATGGGGGCATGGTGGCACAGTGGTCAGGGCACAACCTGTGGGCACGCTGACCCTGGTGTGCCCTGCTGTGTGGCAGTGCACCTTGGGCGGCTTCGAGGAGCTGCAGAGCATGAAGGCCGAGAAGCGCACCATGCTGGGCCTTCCCCCGCTGCCTGAGGACAGCATCAAAGTGATCCGCAACATGAGGGCCGCCTCCCCACCGGCGTCTGCCTCTGACCTCATCGAGCAGCAGCAGAAACGGGGTCGCAGGGAACACAAGGTGAGGGTGCCAGGGGCCCTGCGACTCGGGGCCCTCCAGGTACACAACAGCGCAGTCCCTGCTGGAAGTCAGCTGGTCTCTCATCGGAACGACTGTCTGCACAGCAGGGATGCCTTGTCTCCAGCCCTGGAGCTGTTCTTAGTGGGGACTTGGAATACCTGAGGAACTGCAGCAAGAAACAGTTTGTCAGTTGGTCCCAGTCTTGACTCCCTCTCTAGTTTTCAGTGTTCTTTGCCCTTTACCCGAGACCTGTCTGTGTTGCTCCCACAGTTCTCTCTCGTGTCTCTCAGCTGGCTCTTGTCTCCCCGCACTCGGTGTAGGCTCTGATAAAGCAGGACAACTTAGATGCCTTCAACGAGCGAGATCCCTACAAGGCTGATGACTCACGTGAGGATGAAGAGGAGAATGATGACGACAACAGTCTGGAAGGGGAGACGTTCCCCCTTGAGCGGGATGAAGTGATGCCTCCCCCTCTACAGCACCCCCAGACTGACCGACTTACCTGTCCAAAGGGGCTCCCGTGGGCTCCCAAGGTCAGGTGAGTCTCAGATTTCCAGAACCCTCATATTCCCAGGCTTGGCACCTGGCTTATGTCACTACACAAGGTCCTCTGACAGCAGGCCCTGACCTTGGCTCTATAGGACGAGTTCTCTTAAAGTATCCTTTGCTGGCCTGGGGGGTCTCAAAGGACTGGTCTTGCTGATCTCATATAAGGTGGTTTTTGTATGGCTCCTGACTCTGATTTGAGTTAGCTCCTGGGTAGGCATGTTTGTGAAGGAGCCCCACCTCCAGGGTTGTACCGTCTCGTGCCTCAGAACTACATGTTGGTTGGCGACGGGCCACATAGCCTAGGTGTGTCATAGACCGTATCATCTAGATTTGTGAGACACACAGGGACAAAATCCCTTAGTGACAGATTGTTCAGAACCTATCTCCATCATTGGGGCTGACAGGGGGCATGGTGGTTGAGGGCGCTAGACTCCCACATGGCCAACCACGGTTTGAGTCCTGGACCTGGTGGCTTCTTTTCTCACTTTCCGTCTCTCTCTCTCTCTCTCTCTCTCTCTCTCTCTGCTGTCCTTCTCTGGTCAAATTAAAATGAATGAATTTTAAAAATTAAATAATTCTTAAAAACTATCTCCATTATTAAGCAGCACATTGCCATATATGGTTTTTAACAGAAAAATGATAAGACTAATTAAGAATTTTTCTTTTTTTTGAGTTTTGCCTTGGGGTGTGTGTGCTCACTAGAGGGAGACAGAG